TGCGAGATCTTTGCCAATTCGGCGAACTTTGCCAGAACTTCGCAAATTTTGCGAGACCTTTGCCAATTTTGCGAACTTTGCCAGAACTTTGCCAATTTGTCAAACTTTGCAAGAACTTTGCGAACTTTGCAAGATCTTCACCAATTTGGCGAACTCTGCCAGAACTTTGCCAGAACTTTGCCAATTTTGCAATTTGCCAGAACTTTGCAAATCTTGCGAGGTGTTTGCCAGAACTTTGCCAGAACTTTGCAAATTTGGCAAGTTTTTTTGCGATTTTTGCCAATTCGCAAACTTTGCGAGAACTTTGCGAGGACTTTGCCAATCTTTGCCAATTTGGCAAACTTTGCCAGAAATTTGCGAACTTTGCGAGGACTTTTTCGATGTGCCAGAACTTTGCAAATTTGGAAAAACTTGACCGAACTTTGCAAACTCTTTGCGAACTTTGCCGGAACTTTGGCAGATCTAGGCCTCCTGAGATGTGCTAGAGCTTTGCCAACCTTGTGAGCACTTGTCGATTTTGCAAGAACTTTGCTGATTTTGCAAGATTTGCCGAAACTATACCAAGTTTGCCAGAGCTTTGCCGATTTGGCCAAATTTGCCCAAATTTGCCCAAACTTTGCAAACTCTGCCAGAACTTTGCCGATTTGACCGGAGCTCTGAGCGCGCCATGTTGCCATGTGTGTGTTTGTGTGCGGCGGTTTACCATATGAAGAGATTGATGTTGCCAGGGTAGTCTGTGCTCCATGGATTCATTGGCCCTTCTGACAGTTGCTGGCTCAAAGAGGGGGGATGGCAGCCCCGGAGAATTGTTTGCCCGCACTTGCATTTTGGAAAGCCGACGCCAACAAACTATCCAAGTCCAATCAGGTCTAGCGGGCGCACCCCCAAAAAGCCTGCCTCTCTTGCGCTTTCGAACCAACTTGCTGTGACCCTGACCCGTAGAACCAGTTAACGCAGGCCATCCAAAGTAGTTTCAGAGGACCCGGCAACATCTCCAGTGTCTAAATGTGAACTGGCAAGGCAAGTCGATCCAGAACACCCCAACCAGTTTGGATGACTATCAGCTTTAAACCAGTGCTCCTGTACATAGAACATGCTGGTTTTGAGTCCTTGTTGCACCTGCGCAACACTTCAGAATATTGCTAAAACAAATGCCTAGGTCCCGCACCGTGCGCGCCCCCTTTAAATTAGCCATGCTGTTGGAACTGGCTCCATGTTTTTGGAGATTGATTGTGCGCACACTATCTGGCTTCCTTCACCGTGAATTGCTGCTCGAGATCCGCAATTATGAAAAGCTTGTCCGGAATTAAGAAGTTGACTTTGCCCCAGAAGAAAACAACGCAGATTGAACATTTCGCGTGAACCGACTGCACCGATCAAGGACATCACCGCCAAAGTAAACGACAAACAAACAGAGAGAAAAGAAATACAGAAAACTTTTGTACTCCTTGCTTTCTCACCACCTCCTGGAATGTAAGCTAGTTTGCCCTGTATAATAGACTGAGTGCTGAGATGAGGAGCCTGGCCCAAAAAAATGACTTACCTGTCCCCAAACGTTGCTTCACCACACCCGCCCTAGTGACTTGGTGACTTCGAGTGTGAACCAAAATGGTGATTGCCCTGACTTTTTCAACATTTTGGCCGACATACCAATGAGCACTGCTTTGATTGCCGGAGTTTGCCGTGGAATGAAATGTCTTTGTTTGCGAAATCCAACATTTGAGTGAATGCCCCCAAGCCCGAAAAGGTCATGCCCATAGCATCCCTTACAAGTGAGAAAATGTTCAAAGGCATCGGTAAGGACCGGGCTGCTGCCAAAGCTCGCACATGAATTGCCAGCCCCTCCCGTTGTTGCCACCATATTTGAACTCATCACCACTGTGTTTCTGGAAGCCAAGCCGCGAGACTAAGAATTGGGCCCAAACTTTTTACTTTGGCTTGCCCCAAATCTCATTGAATCTTCACCAGTGGCCCTGCAATTGTTGAAAGAATCCGCCCGTAAATTCCGGATCCTGAAATCTGGAATCACGTCTACAAAGCTGCAAAAGAGGAGCTATCCACACCCCTATGCACTTTAGCAAACTTGCCAAGCCGTATATATGTATAGCATATTTGCACAGTGGTCGCTTGTCACATTTGTGATTCTCAGGATCTCCAGTTTGCCCCGCATTGCCCGCAGATGCCTCCCCTCCTTTTTGCACATGAAACAAGGGATATCGCTCAAGCATAATGTGTTACATGCTTACGTTCATCAGACGATTCCCCGTAAAACTCTTATACGGGCACTTGCATGATGATTGCAGGTTCAGCAGGCTGCTGTTTGAGTTCGATTGAAAGTTGCGCTCGACCAGAGTCATTTGAAACATTTTGAAACGGGGTGGTGTGCCGCGTGGGCTCAACAGTGCCTTTGAATGGGGCAGTCGTGTGAAAAAAGTCCTTTTGGTACGGTGCTTGTTTCTTGTTTGCGAAGTGTTTCTGAACTTGTGCCTACAGCCTATGCACACTTCTTGGAGTTTTTGCAGTCTGCACAAGGCCGCTCGCACTTTATTTACTGACGTAGCCTGGCGGCGGCAACACTGTGTCCACGAAATGTTCACCGCGCGTTTAGTTTCGGAAGAAGTGTTTCTTGCATACTCCTCAAAATACATGGCACATGTCCATGCTGTAATACACAGTTTTTTCAATTCGTTTTCTATCAAGCGTATCAACTCTGCAATTTAGGAACGTATCTTTAGCAATCCACGGCCCAAATCCATGTGGCGGGCCTCCATCAAAGCAAAATGAGTGTTTTTTGCGGCCTGATAGCCGATAAGTTGTTTTGACTTTGCCCCCGAAACCAAAAACACTTATTTTTTTTGGCTGAAACACATGTCAAAAACACTTCTCTCAAACACCAAGCGCGCCAACATGAGCAAGTGAATGCCCGCATACGGCACACAGCATGACTGACCTGGTCCGACCTGATTCTCCAACGGAGCCAAACGGCTCAAAAAGTGTTTTTTCCATACCCCAAAGCCCGAGCAACATGGAACAAGGCTCGAAGTGGACGACAAAAACGCTTATTTTAGCCTAATTTCACCGAACAGGTCCAAACCCCAGATTAAGCAATGTTAATACGAAAGGTTTTTTTTTTTTTTCGGTCATTTGCCAGAGTTGCCCGTATTTGGCCGTATAAAACCCGTATTTTGTCGATAAAATATTGAAAAGAAAGCGAAGGAAACCGTATTTGGCCGTATGACCACTTTTTTCGGGCAAAGCCTTTTGACCAAGAAAAAACAGTGTTTTGGGGCCCCAGGCCCTGAAACGCAAAGGAAAGATGGACGCGTCCCATGAAAAACAAGCTCGAAAACCAAAAATCCCCGGAAACGCAAAGGAAAGATGAAAGCGTCCGAGGAAAAACAGCTCGAAAACCAAAAATCCCCGGAAACGCAAAGGAAAGATGAAAGCGTCCGAGGAAAAACAGCTCGAAAACCAAAAATCCCCGGAAACGCAAAGGAAAGATGAAAGCGTCCGAGGAAAAACAGCTCGAAAACCAATAAATCCCCGGAAACGCAAAGGAAAGAAGGAAAAAAGGCTCGAAAACGAAAAATCCCCTGAAACGCAAAGGAAAGATGAAAGCGTCCGAGGAAAAACAGCTCGAAAACCAAAAATCCGCGGATACGCAAAGGAAAGATGAAAGCGTCCGAGGAAAAACAGCTCGAAAACCAAAAATCCCCGGAAACGCAAAGGAAAGATGAAAGCGTCCGAGGAAAAACAGCTCGAAAACCAAAAATCCCCGGAAACGCAAAGGAAAGAAGGAAAAAAGGCTCGAAAACCAAAAATCCCCTGAAACGCAAAGGAAAGATGAAAGCGTCCGAGGAAAAACAGCTCGAAAACCAAAAATCCCCGGAAACGCAAAGGAAAGATGAAAGCGTCCGAGGAAAAACAGCTCGAAAAACAAAAATCCCCGGAAACGCAAAGGAAAGATGAAAGCGTCCGAGGAAAAACAGCTCGAAAACCATAAATCCACGGAAACGCAAAGGAAAGAAGGAAAAAAGGCTCGAAAACCGAAAATCCCCACGCCAAGGAAAAATGAACGCGTCCCATGGAAAACAGCCTCGAAAACCAAAAATCCCCTGAAACGCAAAGGAAAGATGAACGCGTCCGAGGAAAAACAGCTCGAAAACCAAAAATCCCCGGAAACGCAAAGGAAAGATGAAAGCGTCCGAGGAAAAACAGCTCGAAAACCAATAAATCCCCGGAAACGCAAAGGAAAGATGAAAGCGTCCGAGGAAAAACAGCTCGAAAACCATAAATCCACGGAAACGCAAAGGAAAGAAGGAAAAAAGGCTCGAAAACCGAAAATCCCCACGCCAAGGAAAAATGAACGCGTCCCATGGAAAACAGCCTCGAAAACCAATAAATCCCCGGAAACGCAAAGGAAAGATGAACGCGTCCGAGGAAAAACAGCTCGAAAACCAATAAATCCCCGGAAACGCAAAGGAAAGATGAAAGCGTCCGAGGAAAAACAGCTCGAAAACCATAAATCCACGGAAACGCAAAGGAAAGAAGGAAAAAAGGCTCGAAAACCGAAAATCCCCACGCCAAGGAAAAATGAACGCGTCCCATGGAAAACAGGCTCGAAAACCAAAAATCCCCTGAAACGCAAAGGAAAGATGAACGCGTCCGAGGAAAAACAGCTCGAAAACCAATAAATCCCCGGAAACGCAAAGGAAAGATGAAAGCGTCCGAGGAAAAACAGCTCGAAAACCAATAAATCCCCGGAAACGCAAAGGAAAGATGAAATCGTCCGAGGAAAAACAGCTCGAAAACCATAAATCCACGGAAACGCAAAGGAAAGAAGGAAAAAAGGCTCGAAAACCGAAAATCCCCACGCCAAGGAAAAATGAACGCGTCCCATGGAAAACAGGCTCGAAAACCAATAAATCCCCGGAAACGCAAAGGAAAGATGAACGTGTCCCATGTGTCCCATGGGAAAAAAGGCTTGAAAAACTCCCATCCTGTGGAGGCATTCGTGAGCACCATAAAGAAGAAGCCCACCATCGCCTTCAGCTGGCTGGGAATCGGGAATCGGGGAAGCGTCGCTCGGGGCTCCCGACATGTCCGAAAGGCATCCAAAGTCACCTAAGTTACCAACTTAAGAAGGGGGAATTCATCAACCTAGAAATTTGGGCTGCTATAATTTTTTAAGTTGGAATTTTGAGGGTCCATATGGGGGAGGGAGGGGAGGAAGGGAGGGGGAGGGACAGTCACGGCGTCAGAAGCTGCAGCCTCTGCTTTTTGGTTTCGTTTCTATTCGGCACTTTGGGTGTGGTTTTCGTAGAGGCAATGGATCCTTGTCGCATGGCAATGGATTCTGGAGTTCCGAACATGCGGTGCTCGGCGGGGGTTCCCGTTTCGGAACCCGTTTCGGAGCCCGTTTCGGAACCGCAGCCGTTTCGGAAGCCCGCGAACTCCGAACGGGGCTCTCAACGCGGGGCCCGTATCTGCCTCAAATGATTTCATGGGAGATGTGGACATCCGGCCCAGGTACGTCAGCTTGCCGAAAAAGTGGGACTCTAGGCAGAGACACCTCCTCTCTGTGAGTGTTGCCCATGCCAGAAAACATATCTGCAATTTGTACTATTCCAAAAGCTCAATGAAGGGATCCCCAAGTGAAGGACCCTTTATCGTGGTGAGCTCGTTTTACCCCCAGGTGAGCTCGCCATAAAATAGGCACACATATGTTAGATGTCCATTTCTCAACTTCAACCTCTGTTTTGTGAGATTTCACCTCCAAGATCTGGTCTAGTTGACATTCCAAGGAAACAATCTTCCATTTGCCTAAGTGCCCTGGAAAAAACAAACAAACAGCGGTGATAGAGTCCCTTTATTTAAAACCAACATGGAACAAATCTAAAATATTCTCAAGCACATGGAAACAACAGCTTTCGTTGACAACCCTTGACGTGCACAACCCGCAAAAAGTGAACCGTTTTGCCGGTTGAAAGGGACAATGGACCCCCAAAAGGGCCAAAACGCACACAGCTTCGGCAGAAGTCAAGGCGATGAACGTGCTTGTTTCCCGCAACCCAAGGAACCCGGTGCAAGGGAAGGCAAACCAAATCAACCACACATGGCGGGTGATCAAAGGGTGTTTGTTTTGTTTAGGGGACTCACCTTGTGGAGGGTTTCCCTCTTGGTTTGCCTTTAAAACAACACCAACAGCGGGAAACCACTCTTCGCCTCAAAAGAGGAGCTACGAGGTCTCCGGCAGGCAGTTGATTTCCCCAGCAGAACCAAAGGATATCAAGCCATCTACCCAAAACCAATGCAGGTCATTTCGATGGGAGTCTTGGCCTGTACAACCTGGCTGCTAAAAATGAGGTACCCATTTCAGGGTTGTTTTGTTTAAAGGAAACCGATGGAAAGCCACCCATTTTGGGGGGTCCCCTATGTAGAGACAAACCCTACCTAGCTATTATGGGGGGGAGGGAGGCGGTTGATCAAACGACCATAGGGAACTTTTCGCATTCACTTGGTTGCTGTTGACCCCCCTGCAAAAAGTTTACGTTTTTGGGGGTTTAGTGGGCCTGGGACCCCATATGGCCGTTTTTTTTAGGTCATACGCCTTTGACCGAAAAAAATGGCCATACGGAGTTTTACGGATTTTTTTCAACAACATGTCGAAAAAATATGGGTTTCATACGGGTGATTTACGCAAATGACCGAAAAATCATGGCCATACGGGCAAATACGGGCAAATACGGGAGTTTGACCGAAAAAAAACAGCCATACGGGGTGCCAGGGGGTACCAATGATTTCCCAAAAAGTTAAAGTCTAAAGATCCAACCCAACAGCAGTCAAGTTCATAGCTATCCTTTTGGTAGAATCGATGGCCCTGGTAAATGGAATTGCAATCTAAACCACTGAAACCCACCTTGCAAATGACACTTGTGGCCCCATCACTTCCTGAGTAAAATTGGCCAGGAAAAGTACCCAACTTTTCACATTTAACACTAAAACGGCAACCAAACCCAAAAAGTTGCTAACTTTAGTCAACATGAACTCTCATTCACATGGGACACGCAAGCCGCATTTGTGTGGTTTTCCCCCACTAAGTCCTCCAGTAGAGAGGTTTGAATAAGGGTACCTGCTTTTTTCTCTATTTGAGTAGGGGAACTGTTTCCCAACCAACAAAGGGGTGAGAGGTCGGGCACCAATTGCAGGGGGACCTAGCCCAGGTTTCTGCCGGAAGGATGTGGTGGCCATGTTCTGGCCGAGTTGCAAGTCGGCAGTGCTTGATCTCCCGGAGCTTCATGTTGCTCCACTCCTCTTCGATCGATCTGGGGGAAGTTTTTTGGGGGTTCCAAAGAACAGTCTCTACCTGGAAGAACTACCTGAAGTCTCCATGACCCTTAAAAAAAGGGGTCATTACACAAACAAATGGGTTTATGGGCCCATTTTTGAGGGTCATGGAGACTCCAGGTACACATAAACAACGAAATTCACCCCATTGTGGGGCTAAAAAAGGGAATTCACACCATATGTGCTGGGTTGCAACAGCCCATTCTTTAGTTGGTAGTTTGAGGGTTGCTTTCATTTGCTTCAGACTATGTTCTATTTCCCCTTGTTGGTTTTGAAGGGAATCGATTTCACTACTGGACATGTCTTTGTTTGTTCCAAGGGTCTTAACCAAAGTAAGAATTGGGAGGACCGCAGTTTTTCTTTCGGGTCAAAAACGGCCTGCTAGGTCCAAACCCCCCGCAAAACGCTCGCGCCAATGGCGCTCGGCTCGGCTCGGCGCGAGCAGCGCTCCTCGGGGCTGTACTTGGCAGTGAAGGTGGGGCCGAACCACTTGGGCCGCTTGGAGCCCGTGGGAGCATCCACGTTCCAGCCTCGGACGGCCCAAAGCCAAAAGCTAAAGGGCCTACCACCCACACACACACACACGAAATGCGTCCTGGAAACCCATATGTGACTCTTTTTTTCTGTCCATACGGCTTTCCAGGGTGAATACATATTGTGCACATGTGTAATAATGCCTGGGATGGCTGGCTTCTCCAAACCGATTGTTGTGCTCGGTTCGCCCAGTAGGTTGCTGGTAGGTTACAACCCGAACCTTGGGTGCTCGGTTCGCCAAGTTAGCAAGTTGCTGGTAATCTACTAAGCTACAACCCACGAAGAAGTCCCCCGAACTGAAAATCAGCTTGTCATAAGGGGGTGACAAACCCCAAGTGGCCAAGTACGAACTTGGCCAATCGAACATCCAAGTATGGCCTTGAAACTCCTTTAAAGGCCGGCTGAAAGTCTTGCAAAACCGAAACCCTAGGAGCTTTGGGGGGTTAAAGGTTTTTGGGGGTTAGAGGCCCTCATATTCATGGGCTCACAGAAACAAACCCGTGACTTTTCCGTGGAAGCAAATCAGGCAGCATGCCCCGCACCAAGCCCGGGTTTTGTGGATGCCCCCTTTGCGGTTCATCGACTCAGATGCAACTGGGTCAAGTCATGTTTCAAAGGCGCAAAGAATCGCAAGGATACATATGAGGGTCCAAGGACCTGAATTTTGAGGATTCGCTCAATCTGTCATTGACGAATCTCCTTGAACCAAAGCCGTAACTATGGGGTACTTAGGATCCTCTGGGATAAAGACGAAAATGGTGCCAAAAGGTATCTAGGTTCTCCAGTTTTGGAGGGTAGAATAAGGGTACCAACTTTTTTCTGTAGTCTATTTTAGTAGGGGAACATATACCTGGAGTCTCCCTAAGGACCCTTGAAAAATGGTTGGTCATTACCCAAAATAATGGTTGGTCATGGACACATTTTTAAAGGGCCATTAGGAAGACTCCAGGTAAAGACGAAAATGGCGCCAAAAGGATCTTTTGTCGGAAAAGACGAAGACCTGCGGTTTGCTTCCTAGCTCTTCAATTTCGAGCCACACCCAAGTGGAGGTATGTTCGGAAAGAACGACCAGAACAACCAGAACGTTGATCCTTCCCCCTACTCCAAATACCCACTTCTTTCCATGGAAAATACCGATCCCCCTTTTTGAGTAGAGGGTCGACAAATCATACCAACTCCAAAAAGGCATCGGGTATTTAGAGGTTGCGGGGGTTTGTTTCGTGGGTGAGTGCCACTGGTGAAACGAATCCCTCGGCTTCCTGAAGCCGTAGCGGGGAGTAGCGGGATCGATTCAATCGGGGCAAGTACCGAAGAAATGAAAGATGCGCAAATGCGGGCAAATACACCCACATACACCTGGTATACCCGTAAAAACATGTTGGATGGACTGACTCTTGACCCCTGCCTGGAGGCTCCAATAAAAAAAGAAAGGGGTCCTTGACCAAGCGTTATTTTGGGCAAGGACCAACCATGTTTTAGGGGTCCTGAGGAAGTGTCCTTTTGATGGATGACATACGCCCCGAATCGCTCCGTCCTGGTAGCTCCGTTCACTTGGCTCGCTCCAACCAGCTTACGGGGCCACGTTTCTGGCCACGTCTTCACAAGCCAACTGGTTCTGGGCCTTGCAAAAACCCTGAGGCTGGTGTTTGTTTCTTTGCCCCGAACCAAAAAAATGATCAGAACCGAAAAAGAAAGAAAAAACAAGCAACAAAAGCACAAAGAAAACCAAAACCCAAAAACAACACAGTGTGAGGAAACGGCCAACGGGGGGACACGTCCTGCGCGTTTCTTTCCACTGGGCGCCCAGGCCCAAGTCCCCGGGCTGCACGCCCTCCTTGCCGGTCGGGTCAGCTCAAGGCGGGGCGTGAGCGTGGCTTACTCAAAGCGTGGCTTGCCCAAAGGATCGCTTGTGGTCAGTTCGGCTGCGCGGAACCTGCTCAGCTCAGCCCTTGGGGACCTGGACATAAAAGGTGATCACCTTTTGGCACCTTCACTAAAACTGGGAGTTCCCATGGGAAAACCTGAGCAAAGCAGTTTGGTTGGTTGATTCGCTTTGGGCATAGGTGATAGGTTGATTCCCCTGAGCAAAACCCAAGGGAAAACCACCCGTTGGTCATAGGTCGATTCGCTTTGGGCTGAGCAAAGGGGGTGACATGGGAAGAGTGCAAGCCCTTCGAAGGACCACCCAACTGCTTTCGGCCGGGAGGTTTTTGTTTAGGAGCCCCAGGAGTTCTCATTTGAGGCCCTCACGGGGTTAAAGGAACCACCTCAGATTTAGGGTTCTGGGGGAACAAACAAGTAACGAACAAGGGAAAGATGTGCCTCAAAGGGCTTCAACATCCGGATCAAATTGAAACAAACACCTAAACCGGATGTCCGAACCAGTGTGGGTGTGATTCTGATGCGTCTGCAACGGAAAAAGAGAACTCCGCTTGCTAGCCCAAATGCATCCACAAGCCACCGCAAAGGACTCCCAATGAAAAACCATGTCACACGTCGATCTGAACCTCAAACTACCCTTCAAACTTGGAATTCTGGTTGGTGAACACCCTTTTGTATGGATACCTGGAGTCTCCATGACCCTTTAAAAATGGGTCCATGACTCCAGTATTTTGGGCAATGACCCCATTTTTGAAGGGTCATGGAGACTCCAGGTAGTAGTTTTCGTGTCCACGCATATCCCATGTCGACTTCTCGAGTTTCTGCGCGCGGTATGACTCGGCCCCAGAACGGCCGCTTCATTTTTCCACCCCCCAACAATGGCTGTTTGCCATTTCCAAACCCTAGCCAAAGACCCAAAACATGACGGCCTTGAAATGCCTTGAACCCCTCACTCAAATAGTGAGGTCTCGGGCTCCTAGAGAAAATCCCAAGTGCAAAAAGCAGTTGTTGGGTGCAAAGCAGCTGGCTCTAGGTCGCCCTTCGCGCCCGTCTCAAATCGTCGAGTCAAAACAATGTGCCTGGACCCAACAGAACGACCCACGCAAAAGGGATTTCGCGAACCATACTTTTGGGGCTATATGAACGTTGAGAATCGGCAAGGCTTCAATTGCTGCAGGATTCGATTGCTTCATGATCAGGTCGATGACAACAAGGCTACCTGGATCCAGGTCTCCGTCTGACCCTTTAATAATAGTTGGTCATTACCCAAAAGAACGGGGTCATGACCCCATTTTTAAAGGGTCATGGAGACTCCAGGTAGACGGCTAAGCCAATAAGACAAAGTCAAATGCCATTGCGGCCATTGTGCGTTTTGGCGCTGCTGTTCGGTTTCAATGTTCCAAGTTAAGTCTGCACGTCGGGACGGGAAAGTCTACCCCTATACTTCAAATACACACTTTTTAGGGTATTTTTTGGAAAACCTGGGTTTTCAAGGTAAATACCTCCTGTTTGAGTAGAGGGTCGACATGATACCCTTTTAAAATTGTGGGTATTTGGAGTCGGGGGTACTGCTCCTGAGCGACTTCCTCACAAGAAGTCCAAACGTTATGTTTGCAACTAAAATGGTCTTCGAGAAACTGACGAGTCAGCACCCATCAAGCAGAACAATTATTGATATCGAAACATTTGGCATCTGAAAACCGGTCTCCTCATCTCAATCTCAAGGTATAAATCTAAACTCTTGGCAGCCCATGACTTCTGAAAGATTCAAAGCTTCCCCTGGCGCCCACCCCCGAAATCCCGACATTCCTACACGCCCCCCCTAGGCTTCAACAGCCGCCCCTCCCCCAAAAAGAGAATACCCTTGCGACTAAGTTTCTTAGATAAGACTCTTTGAATATGCAGTAGAAATAAGTGTGGGACGAAATGAAACCATCATATGGACCGCAGTCCTTTCCGGCAACCCATTTTGGGTACCCATTTTTGACCCACAGCGATATGTTTTCTCAACCTTTGCGTTCATGAACTGAATTCCAGGGCATCGTGTCCGGGCCCCATGAGAACCTGTCTGACCCCAGAAACACCCCGGCCGTGAAGCCGCGCGAGGTTTGAGTTGACCCAAATGATCACCCGCAAAAGGGCCAGAAAATCGCGCACAAGCGGGAGAAGTGGAAAACACCCGCAACCTGGACCGCCAACGGACCCCTCTTCCCAATTTTTTGTTCGGCCCAATGGATCAAAAAGTGCTACAAAGGCAGAAGAAAAAAAAAGGAATCGGTCCTTTGGGGGTCCAGGAAGACACACAAGCAATGAGGACCCTTCACGAGGCAGTGTGTGTGTGTGTGGCTGAGGCTGCCACGCTGTACTTGCTGATGACGTTCCTCAGTTCATCGATCGCAAAGTCGATCGCGGCGCGCAGTCGAAATACGCAAGTATAGATTCACCATGTGAGCGATTCCCCCGATCCATCATAGAACGCTACTAGCTGGCGATCGCCATTGTAAGGGCCTGTTTGCCAGTGCAAGGCTTCCCTCCATTTGGTTAAGGCCCCAGGATCAAATGACAATACTTCCAGTAGTGATGAATTCCTTTTTAAAACCAACACGGCAAAACAAAAAGAAGTTCTTAAGCAAATGGAGGCTTCTGTGACCATGTGCGCTTTTGGCACTAAACAATAACCTGCCTCGAGCTCATGCATGACCTTACCCCTCAAACAAAGTTAAAACAAAAAAAAATCATTTCTGAAGCAAATGGAAGATGGAGACGTGAAAATCTAGGACACCCACAAAGGCAAAAGGCCGAAACGTCTAGTCCGCAACCCTTCAGCGACATGGTCGCGACCACTGGCCAGGATAAAAAACCGCTCGACACCTCCAGACGCCGATCCGGTTTCCATCAAGATCCCGTTTCGAGAGGCTCGGACATGCCAACTCAAAGGCAAGAGGGTAAGGGGTACCCCCGTAACCTCCAAATGCCCGGCCTTTTTTCAGTTGGCATTTTGGGGAAAACCGATCGGGTTTCCATGGCAAAAGCCGATCCCTTTTTTAGTAGAGGGTCGACATGATACCAACTAAAAGCAAGAGGGTGTTGGGTGGTTACGGGGTAGAGTCAAGGGGGTATGGTTTGGCAAATGAGGGCTGGGTGCAATCTCAGGGGTACACGGCAGGATGGGCAAGAATCATTACGCACAAAGTGGACACGTCAGTTTCCATCAATGCCCTGGAAAGCCGTATGGCCAATTCTTTGTGGCCCAAGCCGTACGGACAGAAAAAAAACACGTGACATATGGGTTTCCAGGTTCCCATGTTGAATGGGTCATGGAGACTCCAGGTACCCCAAAAGCAAATTTTGGTAAGTGGGCCTTAGACATTCCCAAACATTGGACTCCCGCCAGAGTATGATCTCTCACTCGCCGAAAGGAACTGAAAAGGATCCGCGTTTCGGAGCCTTGGCCAAAAGGAGATCCTGCCTAGCGTCGGAGCAATCCCAAAAGCGGTCCTTTTAACTTTTAACTTCAGCAATCTGGGCATGCGACTGTAATGCCTCAGGACAAATCTGGAGTCCCAAATAAGAAACCTTCATCCGCGAGCTCTTCTTTCGCCCAGAAACAATTTGGAGCTCCCCCATTCCTTTTCTACATATCCTCAAAATTGCTGGCATTCCTTTGCCAAAGGAATATTTGGTTCCCCTTTCAACTCACTTCCAACACATCCAATCTTATACCACTAAAATGGTCCAAACAAAGTCAAGATGCACTCAGGGAGTGAGCCTCAAACGAGTTGAGGTACGCTTTTCTTTTTACTAGCCCCTTAACCAACCAGCCAGCCCCCTAGCCAGGGTTAAGCCCCAAGCGAGGGCTCGTTAAAAAGAAAAAGAGAACCACAACAAATCGAGAGAACAAAAACAAAAAAGGGGGGACCAAAAAGGAAACACGCAAAAGCATCGAGGGCCTCAAAACACCGACCGACGCGCCGCCCAGAACTCCCCCCCGCCCCCGAGGCAAGTCGCTCGTAGCGCCAAAGCTCCGACAAGGCGATCACGGTGAGGATCTGCAGCCAGCCGATGATGGGCACCTCCGACGAACGGATTCGGATTCGGCTTCCTTAAGGCCCGTTTTGGAACCCTAAGGGAAAATAATACGGACCATAAAGGACTCTGGATTCCGTGACCCCATGATTTTGGGTACTGTCCCCATTTTTTATAGGGACAATATGGGACCTGGAGTCTCCCTAAGGACCCTTAAAAAATGGGTTCATGACTCACCAGTACGTTGGGATCCCTAGCGCAGAGGGTCCGGTTGTACCCCATAGGTTACGGCTTTGGGTGCAAGGGATTCGTCAATTACGGATTCTTCAAATCCTGAAATATGAGGTCCTTGGACCCTCTGGGTAGGGGAAAATATAGGGTCAATATAGGAAACTCGAAATAACCCTAAGCAACCCTCGGGAAAGTGTAAGGCACCTCGGCTTTCCGATATTCCCGAATGCATTCGGGAGGGGTGGTCCAACGGTTCCCGTCTGAAGGCCCCAAAGAAACCAGAAGGAACTATAGGGAACCTGAAAAAACCCTAGAGATGCTAGAGAGCCGGTTCCTGAATCACCGAAGGCCAAGGAAGCCCAGGGAATATAGGGAACTCTCACAAAAAAAACTAGAAAACCCCGAAAAAGAACCCGAAGGAACTTGAAGACTCAACTAGCTGGGGTCCCTTGACTAAATCCTAAGCTTAAATTTAGAACCCAAACGCTATAAAAAGCAAAACACTTTGAGTTTGGCCCCTGATAAACGTGAACAGAACCGGAAAAAAAAAGCCTAAACAAACTGGCCAAGAATAGTGAAGTCAAAACCATGGCAAGTGTAAGGATCCTTCCTTGTAAAAAGACAACATTCACCTTTTGTCTTGTTAACCCTATTCCAACCCAACATGCATATCCCTTACATGCACCTTTTGAGTGGACCACAAACGAAAACCCGTCCCAAAAAAATTGAAAACAACAAAAACAAATACCTGGAGTCTCCATGACCCTTAAAAACTGGGGTCACGACCCCTTTTTTGGGGTATTGACCTCATTCTTAAAGGGTCATAGAGACGTCCCAAAACAGTCCGAACGTCTTGGAAATCAAGGGGTCATGACCCCATGTTTAAAGGGTCATGGAGACTCCAGGTCTGAACTTTCTGTCAGTAGAAAATGGTATTGGCAAAAAGTTTAAAGTCCATGAACTCAGGAAGTGAACAACTCGGACAAAAGCCTTCGTCACAGGGCTAAATTCTAGGAGAATCCACGGAACACGGACCCAAAACACCCGAGATAAGCTTGCTTTCCTGAACATGTTCTGTAACCCAACCCTTTCACTCCGCCGACACTCTTTCCAAAAAACAACGGGAAGAAACAACGGGGAAACAAGTGGGCGCCGTAACCCAACCCAACCCTTTGACTCCGCCGTCTCTTTCTCAAAAAAACGGAAAAGAGAAAAAAAAAAAAAGGAAAAGAAAGAAACAAAAAGAGGAAAAACAAAAAGAAGAAAACAACAACGGGCGCCTGGGTGGCCGCCTTGAGAGGGTCCGCGGAGTCCGTGGGGTAGCGAGTGATGAAGGGCTCCCACCTCGCGTCCGAATTCGGTTGGCACATACCCAGAGGACCTCATATTTGAGGATTTGGAGAATATGCAATTGATGAATCTCCTTGAACCAAACCCAAAGCCGTAACTATGGGGTACTTAGGATCCTCTGGGAGAAAAACAAAAACGGCGCCAAAAGGTACCTAGGTACCACGCCAAAAGGTACCTAGGTACCAACTTTTTTTCGGTAGTCTATTTCAGTAGGGGAACATATACCTGGAGTCTCCCTAAGGACCCTTGAAAAATGGTTGGTCATTACCCAAAATAATGGTTGGTCATAGACCCATTTTTTAAGGGCCCTTAGGAAGACTCCAGGTAAAGACGAATAAGCGCCAAAAGGATTTTTTGTCGGAAAAGACGAAGACCTGCGATTTGCTTCCTAGCTCTTCAATTTCGAGCCACACCCAAGTGGAGGTATTTTCGGAAAAGACGAAGATCCGCGGTTTGCCAGCAGCGCTTTAATTTGGGGGTCATAGTGGCAACGGTTTTCCAACGGCTTTTTCAGGAGAACATATTAATCTTGCCTGAAGGCTTACTCGTGTGATCTGGTTTGTCCGTGTTTTCTGATATACCTAGAACTTCTTTAAGAACAGTTTCCCAACATTTTCCCTAAAAAACAAAAAGCGCTAATTTGCATCAACAACCGCGAATTTCGGGTCGACCTCTCCGGGCCGGCCGGTCCAGTGCGGCTTACTTTCGCCGTCCAGCGCGGCTTACTTTTCAAAAAAAAACTACAAAATGCTGCGCCTGCCAGTGAATTGCATCGCCAAACTACCATTTCACTCTCACCAGCGTCCAGCGCGGCTTACTTTTTGCCGTCCAGTGCGGCTTACCTTCCCAAATAAACTACAATATGCTGCACCTGCCAGTGAATTGCATGCGGCTTACTTGTCGCGGCCCAGTGCAGCTTACTTCCGCGGCCCTTGCTTGCGAAGCATCCCAGCCGGGCGCCCCCAGCGTCCTGGGCGTCCCTGGCGCCCCTCGCCGTTCGCAGCGTCCGCGCGTCCCAGCGTTCCTGGCGCCCCCAGCGTCCTGGGCGTCCCTGGCGCCCCTGGCGTCCCCAGCGTCCCTGGCGTCCCTGGCGTCCCCAGCGTCCCCGTCCCCGTCCTAGGACCCCAGCGTATGGTAGAATTACAAATGATACAATAAAGTAACAGCAGTACCAGCAGTAGTAGCAGTAGTAGTAGTAGTGGTGGTAGTAGTAGTAGTAAGTAGTAAGT